TACTATTTCATATTGTTTTACAACACATGGCTTTAGCCCTCTGGTGGGAAAGACTTTAAAACAAAACTTACAACAGTTACTTTTCTCAACAACTGAAATTTAGAATAGTGTGATTAAGAAAAATATGTGAACTGTTTGCAATTTCAAATTAATATTGAAATGTACAGGTTTAGAATTTTCTACAGTGAAAAGTTTTCGGAACTTCAGTGTTCAAAAAAGTATACAAAAGCTAGACGTTAAGAACGTATCCAATGAGCGAGTAAAGCGAGCATCGGATAGCGAAGCCATCCGAAATGAACTGCGAAAGCAGTTCCGGGGGTTGGCGAGCGCTAGCGAGCAGGGGGCGATGCCTCCTAGTTCATATATATTTTATCAGCGAGTTTTTGTTTCAGCAAATATTGTAAAACGGAGTAAAAAACATAAGAAATTTACACTGACTCTTACACAATGTAAACAAACTACTGGCGATATCCAAAATATGCAAACGTTGGTGTTTTCGGAAGCTAAAATAATTCAGTATATCTGATCTTATAGTTCTCATTTATTAGAGTTAATATTTAACAACAACTTTTATGGTGGGAATGAATGATGGATTCGGTATTAATCTAAAATAACCACAATTTTCAATTTTTCATTTCCAAACTGCGATAGCTTTAGCACCACAGTTTTCACAGAGTATAATCATTCATAATAGTTTGTAAAATTTTAAGTAGTTCATTAAAATTTTCAGTACTTATCACTGTTACAGGGAAATAGGGGTAAAAAAAAGGTTAGGAATGTCTACCACAGATCATAAAAAATATATATATATTCAGATAATATTGTAATATAATATTTAGATATTGTTTGATGTTTTTCTGAATTAGACACCATTTTTTTCGTGTCGCAATGACGGTGTCCTCACTACATTCTCCTTTCAAATTTGGGGTAGGGACGAAATAAAATTTCAATTAGCCTAACAGTAGTCAAATAATCCAAGGTTTCTAGTAACAATAAATTTAAAAAACACTAGTTAAAATTGTTGATTAATTTTAATGAGCCTAATCCCCAATGTTAAAGCAAAGAGCAAAATCATTTTAGAGGAACTAAACAAGTGAATTTATAATTAATTCAAACTGCGATGCTTACAAAATAAAACTGAAAGACTTCCTTCAAGTAGGAAGGAACAAGTTTCTTAGAATAAATTTAAATCAAATGACTAAGATTTAATTGCGTTCGAGAGCTTGGGAAATGCGTGAGTTCAAAAACATTTTGTTGTGAATCGATAGAATTAGAGCAGAAACTTTCTCTTAGAAATTAAGCTCAGCGAAAAACTTTTTAGTGCATATTTTTATCTGTTTAAGAATGGCAACGTTTCCGGTTTTGGTGAGTACCTAATTGAATATTCCTTAAAAATATGTGATTAGTAAAATTTAAATTTATTTTTTTGAAATTTATTTTAAAATTTAATTAAATTCATTTTTATTGTTGATGTGTAAGTTATTGCAGATTTCTAAACAAAATTCCAATCATTCACACTTTTGAAGTTTCTTTTAAAATGCAATTTTAGAAGAGTACTTAATGGCAAGTTTCTAAAGTATTTTAGAACCATTATCAATACCACAGTACATTTTCCAAGATCAGAATCATTATTTTTTTCATAATAAGTGGGAAATCTTGTTTTTAAAAGTGTAAACTTAATTTCATAATATTAAGTTTAAGGTGAATTTAATTGTAGAAATTATAAGATTGATTGCATATTAAAAAGTATAAGATAAATTTTATTCTCTAAAGCTATTTTATGCTAGTACAATGCACAAGAGAAAGATCAACCTCAACAACTTTTTTTCGAATAATCAGATCTTTCCGTTTTATGACTCAATCTAATGGCTTGAAGAGGTGACCCCTAAATAAGCTATTTAACTAGGGCAGACGATATTTTAAGTTACGAAATCAGAATCTCTGAATAAACATAATTTTTTTTCGACAAATTCGGATTTTTGATTCTCAAAATCTAGGGAATAGTCTCAACCTGGGAAATAGGGTCGTAAGGTCGAATATGTAATATTGGATTTTACAGGAACTATTCAATCGTTTTGGATCAAATTTTGTATTTTGCCATGTAAAATTGCATATTTTAAAATTATGATAAATGTATACCTTATAGTTCAATATTTTTTACTATTATTAAATAAAATAATAAAAAATGATAAATTTTTACTAAAATTATTTTTTTGCATGACATTATCCTTTTAATTATGCGCAAAGGTCTTCAATTCACTTAAAAAGGTCATGAGATATGGCAAAATAAGCAAAAAGTAAAATAAACATTAAGGGATCCAAACTTTGGATCGTTCCCCAGATCAAAATGTTAATTTCTGAAGGTTTACATTATACCCGTGTTACATTATACCCGTTATATTATGTGGGGGAAACGATCTGTGGCACAATTTGCAACCATGCACTTCCCCATATAATGCATTATATATTATGTCCTCAAAGTCATTTTTCATTTAAACACAAGTAAATCCTATGGTATTAGCCAGATCAATACTAATCTACCATTGTATTAATGAGAAAATTAAATCTTCTCAACAGCTCAACATTCTTCTCATCTTCAACAGCCGCTGTCTGTTCGAAGAAATCAAAGTGCACGTACCTTAGACACGTACTTTACTATCGTCAATACCGTACCAAATTTCATTACAATTCGATAAAACGGAGCCGTGGTGGCTTAGGGATAGAGCACCCACTTCCCAATGAAATGACAAGGGTTCGAATTCCGGCGATGGCAGGTTGATACGAATTCCGCATCCATTTCACAGCGACCACAATGCTGACGCAAAAATGTTCTCAGTGGTAGACGGGTCGCGGATTAGAGTTCTCCTGCCATCGGACTAACATTGGGAGGTTTTCGTAGTTTTTCGTCTGCATGTAACGCAAATGCTGGCTAGTTCCATCAAAAAGTCCTGCACGAGGGCAATATTTATCCCAATACTTAATCCAGTTCTCTTGTCTATTGGATAATGGGTTCAAAATGCTGGGATTGAATATTGGATCTTGATATTGGGTTCAAGGCTACGGATTTGAACATTGATAGTCATAAACTCAAAATTGGATCGGCTGTTCAGTGGCGGTGATAAAATTCGATGAAATGACTGCCACCTAGAAAGATCCATTGTTTATTGCAAAAAGAAGTAAGAATTGCAGGCTCTTTATGCCCCTCTTCCTCAAATGATCTTAACTCGACTCACCCTATCAAAAGTCCAGAATTAAATTAAATTAAATAAAAACATCCTATTATTTCATTTACTAAAATATTTTTTGAGTGCGAAAATTTACTAACAATTAGTTAAACAAATTTACCCTTCTTCTCACATTGCAGAGCAACAACTTTCAAGACCAATTTAGAAATATAAATATAATTAATGATTAATCATAGTTTATGAAAGGGTTATTGACTTGAAAAAGAAATTATTTCTCTGAGCTTATTGTATATCTGTGAGTATTGGTCTTAGAAAGGAACGTACGACATTATTGGATTCTAATATGTATCTATAATATTAACCCTCAACCACAAACATGAGAATAAAGACTCATTTAAGGCTTGAATAATACTACAAATAATATTTTTAATAAAATTCATAATGACGATTGTTAAATTTTAGAGAATTTGTCCTCGTGCAAGAAAGCTTTTCCATCAGCATGAGTGGGGACCTGAAATCGAAATGAACCCCACTTATTTTTATAAAAAAAGTGCGAGCACCTATATTTTTCTTCTATATAAAGATAAAAGCGTTATCAACGGAAATTTGACTCAAAGCATTTTAACTAAGACATAATTTTTCACTTAAAGGGAATATAAATTTACTAGGAGGCTTCGCCCCCTGCTCGCTGGCGCTCACCAACCCCCGGAACTGCTTTCGCAGTTCATTTCGGATTGCTTCGCAATCCAATGCTCGCTTTGCTCGCTCATTGGATACGTTCTTAACGTCTAGTTTTTGTATACTTTTTTGAATACTCAAGTTCTGAAAACTTTTCACTGCAGAAAATTCTAAACCTGTACATTTCAATAGTAATTTGAAATTGCAAACAGTTCACATATTTTTCTTAATCACACTATTTTAAATTTCAGTTGTTGAGAAAAGTAACTGTTGTAAGTTTTGTTTTAAAGTCTTTCCCACCAGAGGGCTAAGGCCATGTGTTGTAAAACAATATGAAATAGTAGTCTGTCACTGAACGCCGGATGTAAAGCATCGGCTTTGATGAAGATAATTTTGCATTTTTAATTCTCTGAGGGGCGCCACCTTAATAATATGGAATTTGCAGAATAAATGTATATATTTTTAATTGCTGACGAAGCCCATCATTTTGTGTTTTCATCAGTGTTCAGAAGCAGAACAGCTATAAGTTTTTTATTTCATCACAAAAATATAAAATGTATAGAAAACAAAGAAAAGAGTAAGAAAATTAGTATAGTCATAGAAAAAGTTAAAATTATAATATAGTATTTACCAGTTAAAATAAAACTTTTTGTTTAAGGCGGTACTATGTCATTTTGATTTATGTTGCTAAGTTAACTTTCAAAAAATTCTATGGCTGGCAACAGCATTTTTATTTTTTAGGTTGCTTATTTTTATTTCTTTTAGAATTCTCTGAGGGGCGCCACCTTAATAATATGGAATTTGTAAAATAAATGTATATATTTTTGATTGTTGACGAAGCCCATCATTTTGTGTTTTCATCAGTGTTCAGAAGCAGAACAGCTATAAGTTTTTTATTTCATCACAAAAATATAAAATGTATAGAAAACAAAGAAAAGAGTAAGAAAATTAGTGTAGTCACATAGAAAAAGTTAAAATTATAATATAGTATTTGCCAGTTAAAATAAAACTTTTTGTTTAAGGCGCTTCTATGTCATTTTGATTTATGTTGCTAAGTTAACTTTCAAAAAATTCTATGGCTGGCAACAGCATTATTATTTTTTAAGTTGTTTATTTTTATTTCTTTTAGAATTCGTTATTTTTTTAGCGAAATGTTTTTTAACCTAACAGAATTCTTTGCCGACTGTTTTCTCTATGAATGAAGAAAATAAAGTAAATATTTAACTGTTGTGAAAGGAATCTTATTTAGTTGTACAAAATACTTCAGCCAAAATTTGGGAGCCACGTAAGAGAATTATATATATTAGATCAGAAACACATCATTAAAAGGCAGAATGCTTTGGTGTTTTCAAAACAAAGCAAACGTTGCCACCGGTGGAAAAGAAATACAGCCAAAATTTGGGAGCCACGTAAGAGAATTATATATAATAGATGTTATCAAAGTTTTGTAAACAGATACCAAACTACCCTGCTCTCATTGGGGTGCATTATGGACCTTACATTTAATTTTTTATTCATATTTCCTCCAAAAAATGTCCTTTCTAATATTGAAAACCGTATTTTTCTCAGCACCATGACGTACATCTCCAATGGATACCATCACATGTTAATATTGGTGGCAAAGAGGGCAGTGAGGAAGATATGCCCACCGGGTCATCACTTACTTATCAGGAACTTTACTCCAAGGAAAAATATAAACAAAAATCAATCTGGCAAGCTCCACCTACGCACCAATGGTACACCGCAACAGTACACCTTCTGGGAATCAATTGCGATCGAAGCTCTCAGACTGCCTTGGCCAGATTCTCAACTGGTCACCGAAAATGTCGAACATTCGAACGTGTCACAAAAATTTATCCGACTTGTAAAAAATGCTGCATCCAACCAGCCTCACCGAAATATACACTTAATTGTGTCGGACTGTCCAGGACGGACTTAATTTCCGATCCCCTTCTTGTCATCGACTTTCTGGTTGTCAACAACTTTTTGGAATTGATCTGACTAATGTCAGATCTATGAGGATAAGCAACAACAGCCGTATTTAAATTATTCCGGAACCATCATTATGGAAAATAAATGGCAATAATGCAGTATAGGTAGATAAAAATTATTAAAAATACTTTTTTACGTAAATTGTGAGGTAGGGGTAAAAAAGCAAGGTTCCCAGTATAAAAGCATACTACTCGCATAAAAACAAGGTTCTAAATTATAGAATGTATTTCTCGGAATAATAAAAAAAATTTTCATTACTAACATATAAGGTAAAACAACGTATAACAATGAAACACATGATTAAGGAAGTACTGAAAGGAAAATTGAAGTGGGCATCACAGAAAAAAATGAAACATTAAAAAAAAGTGTGTAATATAATTTTGATGATTTTGGATGATTTTATAATTTTGATGACATTTATCAAGAGACAAAAATTAATAATTGCAAAATTTACTTGTAGATTCTACTGTGTTTTGCGTTTGCGGCAGGTTCCAATCCAGAGAAAGCGTCAGAAGCACTCTTCGATATTACTAAGGAAGTTCTGGGTCTTCTTCCCCCTCTGAAGAATCTTCGATTGCCTGTAGAAAGAAAAGACAGTTCTAATGCAACGGAAACGTCATCTATTCTCAAAAGGCTAACAGACATGTTTTCTAACAGAGGTTTAAATTAATCAAAATATTTTTAAATTCATTTAATTAAGTTACTAAAATCAAACTTAAAATGTAAACTTAAAATGTAAGTGTAGTTGAAAACGTAAATGCAAAGATTAATGTATTGTTAAATATGTGCAGGGAGTCTTAAATAAGTCTGATGGTTTTCGAAAATTTATAACATAAAAATATTTCTTGCATCAAATTCATGTAACAGTGAATGAATTTTTCTTTACAGGGTTCCTATTTTTTGTTCAAAATTTTTCTGTAGATGACACTGCTGATAGTAAATCTCTAAATCAAATAGTAATAATAACAATTGAAAATCATATCTCAGCATGGCATATTATGGCATGTGGTTGCGGCTAGTTGTAAACCTTCAGAAAATATTGTGACATGATTTTCAACTATTTTTCATTTTTACTATATGATTTTTTTTTTACCCATAAAATGTCTCAATCTGATAACTGACGATTAGAAAATAGTATAATCACTTTCTCTGAAATTGTGCTCGTTTTCAAACTTGAAGTACTACTTTCGGATTAAAAGATTCTTGTAAAGACAATTGTTTCGTTGCGAATATTTTAATGACATAAATTACCTGATTTTTTTATATTTTCTACGTTTCTGCTTTGGTCTATGAGTGGATAGGTGTCTATATTTAAGAATACTTTTAAATGTTTCTTTAACATATCTTTTATAAAAATTCCTTTTTTATAAAAGACTCAGTGATTCATAACTGTAATGACTCTTTTCATGAAATAATCGAAGAAGAAAATCATTCTGCTTTAACATTTCCATTTCTGAAGTTTTACATTTATTTCATTTAGCTTTCATTTATTTATTAATTTTCAGAAATGATCTATATTATCTAATAAAGTGTAATAAAATATAAAAAATATTTTGCTCTTCCAGGTAATGAGAATCGTTACAATATTTTGAGATCTGATGCTCCTAATGGCTCGAGTTTTATGGAAAGGTTGGCTTCAACTTTGGAGCCTGTAACTAACCCTTTAAAAAACATAACGACCAGAGCTCTACAAGGAATTTCAAAGCTACCACTATTCTCAGGAAGACGAGAAACATCGAAAACATCTGAAAATTAAATCATCTGCCTTCATTATAAAGTAACTAATCAAGTTTTTAACAATTTGAATAATTTTATTGCTATTGTCTTTTAAGACTTGTTAAGACAGAAATATTAGGCATAATTTTAAAGCTAATCAATAAAAAAGATTCAATGTCCCACGAAGTTCATTGCATGCTTTTACAACTTGTATGGATGCAATCACACCCGTTATAATCTCCAGATCTGGCACATTGACTTATTACATGTTCTGCTCAATGCATACATTTCTAAGTGGCACAGCCATTAATTCGCATGAGGATGTAAAAAATTATATTTTTTGCTAGAAAGAACTAAAATTTTTGTTAGAATGGACTCATGCAGCTATCAAAAATACGGCAAAAAATATTGAACCTAATTGACACTTTATAACTTGAATGAGTGATAGCTACCACACTTACACATCACTTAATAAGTCTCCAGTGCTATGAAGTCTCTAGTTATTTATCTCTGAAAAAAAATTTAGAAATTCTACTTTATTCGTCATACCCTTCAAGAAAGAACATGTCCCTTTTCGAAAGATACATTCATTCCAACATTCTTCTACCTTTTCAATGTCTTTTTTGTGGAATGATTTGCTTTTCCACCCAAAATAGGAACACAGTTTCAAAAATAACTTCTTCATTTGAGCCAAATTCCTTTCTCTTGAGCATCTTTTTGAGATTTGCAAAGTGCCAGTAGTCGCTAGGGGAAATATCTGGAGAGTATGGTGAATGGGGAAGTAATTCAAAGCGTTATTTTCAGCGACAAGTGAATAGGGGCATTGACTTGGTAAAACAGAACTTTTTTGCTGCCTCACGTGTTCTTGATTTCTTCGCTCAGTCAATCCAATAATGCCATGTAATATTCGCTATTGATAGTTTTATCTTTATCCAAAATCCATTCCAAAATTATCGTCCCGAAATACGGAGGTAATAACCTTCCCAGATTTTTTTGCTATCCAAGAAAGATTCTAGCGCAGAAGTGTCCATAATTAAAAGTAGTGAAGCAGAATTCAGAAGAAGGCATTCCCTCACTTTGGGCTGTCTAGCCAAATATGATGATATTCATGTGAACACCAAACATTATTGAGATCAGTTCTTTTTCCACCTTTTTTTCAAAAGGATTAGAAGTTTTTTTGCGAGAGTTAAAACATAGCAAAAGACGTTGAACAATATATAGCTTTTTGAAATATTTTTACTCTTTAAAAAATTGTCTTCACTTAAAAGAAATATAAGAAACGGAATTACATTTGGAAAAACCCAATTCAACATATGTTACTTATTTTAATTGTTACTTAACATAAGTTGACGCCAAAACAGCAGCAAGCGCAAAAAGTTTACTGAGGTCTACAGCTGTTTACTGCTATGAAAGAAGGACTGGGAAGAAAAAGGCGTGGTATATGGCATTCATAACATTCTAAGTGTGTGCCTAATAAATAATTTCATAACACGCCGTGGAAGAATTAGAAGATACAAAATCAATTTTAGAATTAATATATAAGTTTATTGAATACTCTGTTTTACAATAGATTATTCTCCAATTTTAAGCATGTTTCTATCAGTTACTTAGAAATGACGTAAAATTAATTTTATGTTAAACCTTTAACGCAGAATTTTTATTAAACATATTTTTCATTATTTTGTACTAATTTTGGTCAAAATAAGTGAAAAGTGTTATATTTATTATTTTAATAACTTATAGTTATGAAATACAACAGGAAGCACTAGTGTTTTTTTCTCCATTGAAAATAAAATCGTTCAAACACAGCCCACTTCCAAACAATAATTTTTAAAATTTGCACTTATTTGCAGTTATTTAGATCTAAGAGAAACAGTTATTCGCCGTTGAAATGTCTTTAATTCCTATAATAAGTTACTAATAAATTTTTTGAATAATTTGAATATGAAGAGGAAAAAATCAAACTACTTTTTTTTATTTTAAATTTTAATACAAATATAATTTCAATAATCTAACTGATTTTCTTTTAGTAACTATTAGACTGCTTTTTTTAATTTAAAAATACCAAATATATTTTGCTTGTAATTAGAAAATCAGAAGAAAATATATGAAGGGTCACCGGTGTCTCATCTGTTTCAAGGAATTAAAATTAATTCTGTATACTACTTTTAATATTATTTGCTTTAATGCAAAAAAAAAAACTCTCAATATTGTTTTACACTCGTGATGTATTATTATGATTTTAAATAAATTATAATTCATTTTTGGAATATTACTTTTTATTTTCCTACTATGAAATCCCTTATGAAAATTTGTGCCTGGTGTTTAATATTAAATTTATTTTTAATTTTCTTTTGCAGATCTACATATGCGGGAACATACATAGCGAAGTCTGAATGTTGCTTTCATATCGAGCATTAAACTGTGTTTTAAATTCATACTCATTTGCATTTTTGAAAAACTTTTAAAATGTAATACACCTTTTAATATTTTAAGTGAAATATCTCATGTAGTAAATATGTCACAATATACACTTTTAACAATGTTTTGTGTATTATTTTGTATTTCATAAATATCAATTTACAAATGAAAAGTACTTTCTTAAACAAAGGACGCAAAACTCATCAAAAAATTATGCGTCACAATCGTATAGTTTCCTAAAACAACAAGTTCCCAACAACAAATCATTGTCACTACAAAACTATTTGATAAAATAGGACTAAATTAGAAAACCATAAAGAATATTTTATAAAAATTATGTTAGAAAATGTAAATAAGAATTATGTAATAAGAAAATTATGTACATAAGAGTACGTTTTTTGTAAAATGAAGTAAATTCTAAGAATAATATATAAGGAGCATTATAAAATTTTAAATAATACAGTTTTACTGTGAGCAAGAAAGATTTCAAAAAATAATAATAATAATAAATATGATTACTACGTGAAAAGAACTCGAAGCTTTCATAGAATTATTTTCAAAGAAGTCAATTTTTTAAACTTTTTCAATTTATTAACTCCAAAAACTTGTTTTGTATTATTTGAAATATTGTCTATGATAAATGATATAATTTTTTTCCCGTGAAATGTAACAAGGGGCCAAGCACTTCCTAATGTTTTTGTACATACTGTAAAAAAAGGTCTTCTTAAAATTGTACTAAAATTGCCAAATATTCCCCGAAACAAATAATATTCGAATTTAAAAATCCCATACATTAAAAATTACAACAGCTTAGACTCATTTTTTAAAAGAAACTGTATAGTCTCAAAACTGATGTTGAGATTGATATGTTTGAGAGAGATGATCGTTGACTGCCAGTTGGATTTAGACAAAGGACCCCGGGTTCGTAGTAGCATGGCTCAACTACCATAGTTGTATAATGGGCCAAACAAACAGACCACCCAAAATAATTTTTCATAATTCTCTGAAAAAATATACTTTTTTTAAAGGATTCAGATTTCTGACCCCCAAAATATATGGGTTAGCTACAATCTGGGTTATAAGTTTGGACAAGAGAGTGACCCAAAGTTTGGTCAAGAGAGTGACCCAAAGTTTGGACCCCTTAAATGTTAATTTTACTTTCTGCGTATTTCGCTATGTCTCGAGAACTTTTTTGTATGGCAATATATTTTATACAGCAATGTAATACGGCAAGACAGAAAAGTTGGACGAAATCAGTCGAATACTTAACGAGAAATTGAGTTTTAAATTTTGTTTTTTTTTTAAAAAAATTCGATTTTTCAAGAACTGTTTGATTCAGTTTGTTCAAATTTTGTATTTTGTCATGGATAACATAGAAATTCTTTAAAATAATATACAAATACGCATACCTTAAAATCTAAATGTCTTCGTCTATTATAAAGTAAAATAATAAGAAAAGGATAAATAATTATTAAAAATTATATATTGCATAGAATTATCTGCGGATAAAAAAATTCCATTGAGTGCAAAAAAAAATTCAATTCCTTTAAAAAGTTTACGAAATATGGCAAAATTCGCAAAGAGTAAAATTAACATTAAGGGGTCCACACTTTAGACCACTTTTCTGACCGAACTATTAGAACAATATTTCCCAGATAGCGATTCCTTGCATTTTGGACATGAATCATAATCTGTCAACAAAAGGAGGCATGTTAATTCAGAGAAAGTACGTTTTTGTGTCTGATTTTATAACTCATAATCTATTTCTCACTGACTAATAATAAGCATATTTGAGGTTATGCAATCGAACTATTAACATTGAGTTCTTTCCTATCATTATATTAAAAGCTATTGAGATAGTTTCATTTCTTATTTTACGCACAGTACACAAATTGCTTTTTTTCGGAAAAATAAGAATTTTCGACAAATCTCGTCTTAACAAAATTGTGTCATAAATTTTTATAATTAAATATAACTTAAAACAATTATAGTAATCCTTATAAGTTTTGAAAACATAATTTTTACCTAGAACACGACAATAACTTTTTCACCAAAAGTATAAATTTTTATTGGACATCAAAATCCTTTGATATTAACGTTTAATTATAAAATAAACACCATAATTAAAAAAAAACTGAAGTAATAGTTTCACTACAAATTATTCACGTTTGTTTTCCAATTTGAGTCATTTACCCATACAGGGGTCTGTCCAGGCCGAATTTACTACCGTTTAGCGGTACCTTCACAAATTCAATTTTAGGTAAAACGGTAGTTTCACAAAATACTTTTTCTTAAAAAAAATTTTATCCCTTAAGAAACGATAAATCTATATTTTTACCATGTTCTTGTTGATTTCTTAATATAATTTTTAATTTTTCACAAATTATGTCTAAATTTTCACAAAAAAGATACCTTTCAGAAAAACCTAGACAGACCCCTGCCATAATATTTCATTCGCTTCTCACTTGAAACGAAGTTTATTTTTTTATGATGGAACATGAAAGCTCTGAAAATTTCACAATTCATCACACAACGTGCAACAAAATTATAAAACTCGGCAATTGGGTATAATATGAAAAAAACACAACTACTTCGATTTAGTAGGAACAACATATGACGCAATGCTAAACGAATGGAATTTAGTTGTTGTTTACTTAGTTATTGTTATTAGTAGTTGTTGTTATTTGTTTTAGTTGTTGTTGTTCATTTAGTTGTATTTAGTTTCAATAACTTTTCTTTATAATGCAATAAAATCTGGCGAGCAGCTATTTAAACGATCGAACACTTCGTTTGTTTATTTGTGGCTTGAAGTTAGGCTCGCAGAAAATGCCGTTCATGGGTTAAATTTAGTAGGAACAACACAACCTGTGACGTAGGCTATATTATACCCAATTGAGAAAACTGAAGCATCTCTCGATTTGAGTCAATTTTACGTCTCGAGAATATTCCAAATGTTAATGCGCCCTCTGCGGGAATACTAATAATTCATAGTCTCACTCTCAGTTTACCTAAATCTAGTTTTTTCTCTCCCCTGTAACCTCACAGATAGTAAAACAACAACCAAATAGAAAAGTAAAATCCAAACAGACATCTTTGGTGCTCAAAAGTAGCAGTTCCTTTTTGGAAATTGAAGAGTCCATTCATCAGTTGTCGAAAAATACCTGAACGGCATAGAAAAATTCAACATTTTTTTTCACTTAAAATTCCCCAAAGGGTTAGAGCAGAGGATTTATTAGCAACTATTTCTTCCAGACGTGGAATTTTTTTAAAAAAAAAACTAATCGCCCTGATGCCGAAACGTGCGAAAGATACAGAACAGGGAATCCCCTTCGTAAATACACTGTCGGTAAAGTGCATAGAACAAAGACAGTTCTTGCAGGTGTGAGGAAAAACCGTTATTTCATAATGTTCTACTTTTGTTTCGGTAGTGGGATTGTCTGAGAAGATGTTATTCATTAGGTCATTTTTGATCTGAGATCTCCTTACCCTTAGGGCAAGTCTATTCACGCCCAAACAAGAAAACGGTCTTTGAGTAAATAAAACATCACATCTTCATTATAAATATAATAAAGATTATATAGTTACGCATTATGTCGCTGCCATTTTAGATTTATTAAAAAAAATACTGAATTAAAATAAATTATTCAATACCATTTTACCGTTTCATAAATTAAGAGGCATAAGTTAAGTACTTTACTTTCGTTTTCCTTATACTTTTTTGTAATTAACAAATTTTGTGATAATATAGTATTGTTCCGCAACACAAGGTCTTTAAAAAAAGTGGAAAATAAAGGGGTTGATTTATTTGATTAGAAGAAATAAAACTTGATAATGTTTAGAACTTCTATTAAATTTTCTTCAAAACTAAAAAGCAATAAAAATCTCAGATTTGTGATTTTGAATCAATAATTTAAAACAACACATTTGTCAGTTTTTTTAAAAAAAAATTTTAAAGTTTAATTTTATTACAATTTGAAGTGATGAAAACCGGTTTGAATGATTACTATAACGTAAAGTGCACAAAAACAAAGATTTATTTATCAAAAACTTGAAAACAGATAAATGTATAAACATTCCTTTCAAGAACTACTGATTGCAAAAAAAAAACTGTATTAGTATAATTTTTTCAACAAAAAAAATTTAAAGGAAATCTAAATTACCGCCGGCTTTATTTCTCACTATCTGGTCAGGTGAAGGCTTTGTATTTTAAATGTATCAAAAAATACCACCGAAGACAATTTTCACCATTAGTTTATTTGTTAAAATTAAATAAAGAGGATTAAAAGCAATATTTAGAATCCCTCTCCCCGTCTCCACCTTTCCAACCGTAAAGTTTGGTCGAGGAAAGTAATGCCTCTTAAAATACATTGCTAAAAATTTAACAGGATGTTGAACAATGATACCAATCAAATTTCCTACACCCTTAATGGTTCCAAGCTGAATCATAGTATCGTATTTAAGAAAAATTAACCGGATAGATGTTTAAAATGGTTCGAATTAATCATGATTACACGATAATATGTTTTAAACTAGAACTCAAGCATGATTCAATCTAAAGGGCTATCTATAAATGATGTTACACTTCTTTTCAATATTTCAATATAATATGAATTCTTCTTTGTCACGAAGTGTCACACTTCATCATACCGCATACACCAGGGGTGGCGAACCTTTATACACCAACGTGCCATTTTCTCTAAAAAAATTGCTTAATGAGGTCATAGACGTGCCGTCAAATAATTTTGACTTCGTGATTATTGGGAAAATAATAATACTAAATACTATCAACTCAAAACTCTTTATTTACATTGAAAATAAATACATTTTGCAATGTCTCTGTTATGCAAGTAATTCAACTTAAAGTGACATCAATGTGACTTCTGTTGTTGCAGATTAGATGACCAATAACTTATATTAGGTTCTAAGATGTTAGTTTAAGCACGACTGTTGAATTTTTTGCTAGTTATTTATTGTTAGCTTGTTTTTTACGGTTATTTATTGTTTTTTAGTATTAATTTTTAATTTTTTTATTTATAATTGTTTAATATTTTGTTTGTTTTTTGTGAATTTTAATTTAATTGTTACATATATGCTTCATAGCGTAATAACATTTG